TTTCTTTCTTTCTTTCTTTCTTTCTTTCTTTCTTTCTTTCTTTCTTTTTTTCTTTTTTTCTTTCTTTCTTTTGTCAAGCAATTATAAGATAACAGGTATACGTATAAACATAGTTATGGATACATGAAATGGATACATATAAGAAAAATAAAAATAAAAAAATAAAAAAGAAACAATAGGACAGGGACGGTAGGCAAGATTGGTGCGCTTATGCACGCCCTCTACAGGCCTCTTAGGAAGGGGGTGAGGTCAATAGTAGACAGTCTAAGGTTAAAGTTTTTGGGGTTTGGGGAAGAAACCACAGAGTCAGGTAGAGTATTCCAGACATTGACCATTCTTTTGCTGAAGTCGTATTTCCTGCAATCAAGTTTGGTGCAGTTAACCTTGAGTTTGTATCTATTGTTTGCTCTAGTGTTGTTATGGTTGAAGCTGAAGTATTCATTGACTGGTAGGACATTGCAATGTATAATTTTATATACTATACTTAGATCAGACCGAAGGCGGCGTAGTTCTAGGTTTTCTAGGTCTAGAATTTCAGGTCTGGTGGCATAACGTATTCTTCAACGAGTAGAGGAGTGGAGAACTCTTCTTGTGAAATATTTCTGGACTTTCTCAACTGTGTTAATATCAGATATGTAATTCGGGTTCCAGACTGATGAGCTTCTATTCGAGTATTGGTCTAGCAAATGTTTTGTATGCTCTCGTTAGTAGTGTGATATTACCAGAGAAAAAAGCTTCGTAGGATTAGGTTAACAACTCTTAATGCCTTTTTGGCTATGTAGTTACAGTGGGCTCTAGCACTTAAATCATTTGAGATGAGTACTCCAAGATCCTTGACAGAGTTTGGATCATCAACAAAGTCTTGACTATTCAGCTTGTATTTTATTTTCTGATTTTTTTGCCAATATGTAGGACAGAGCATTTATTTGTTGACAATTACTTGTCCACATCAACAGTCTTTCAAAGAAACATGGCAAAGATATGGCTGCCAAAGCTCAGATGTCTTCTTAGCTGGTCCAAAATTTAACAGATCACAGAAAAAAAATCCCATACTTATGTCAGATTATGTTATTCTGGAGACATAGGTAAGAACCGTAGCTTCATTACATACAGCAGGGTAGATATCTTGAAACAGTTTGATCCACTTGTGGTTCACTTGAGAGTCTATTGGCAGTTATCCCAGTTTGCCCAGTTCACCTTGGTTTGGGGGAGATCATCTCACTCAGAGTCAAATCCCTAGATTTGATTGCATGATGTGAAAGTACTGCCTAATTAGCAACACTGCAAGTGTCTTCTCCAACAGTACCAGAACACCATAACAGCCACCTAAAGAAGAGATATCCTTCTGGATTTCCATAGGTTTGGTTAAAGACATGGTCTGCCCCCATAAAGTTTTCTGATCTTCCCCAAAAAAGTGATGGAGTCATTGAGCCAGAAGGTGGCATGTCCAGCAGAACAATTTACAGAACAAGGAGGCTGGAAGACCTTATGTAGTTTGTGGTTTGAGTGATGCATTGCAGAGTAATGGAAATATGAGTGTTTATCACAATAATTGTCAGTGTTTGGTATTTTAACTCCCACTGCTCCAGTGGTGGGATTCAAAAAATTTTTACTACTGGTTCTGTGGGCATGGTTTGGTGGGCCTGGTAGGGAAAGGATACTACAAAATCCCTATTCCCTCCCCACTCCTGGGAGAAGGTTATTGCAAAATCCCCATCCCTCCCCACTCCACTAACCTGCTTTCCAGCTCCATTCTCCTGTGCAGGGCAACAAAAGAAGATCCAGCTGATCAGCTGGAACTCGGGAAGCAGAGAATAGATGGGGACAGGGACAGTCAGAGGTGGTATTTGCCGGTTCTCTGAACTACTCCATAACTGGTCAGAACCTGCTGAACACCACCTCTGCACTAGTCCCCTGAACAAAGAATGTCAATCAGGCAAGAAGCCCCCTTTATTCAAATATGTTATTTCTATGTCTTGATGTATTTATTACTTGTGGTAAGTGTAGACCAATGTGGGAAGTCAAGAAATTTAATCTCTCCCCAAACTGTGCTGGACTATCTTGGTCCAATATGCAAAGTTCAGTTTCAATCAGAATTGTCTTCAGCTGTACATATAGAAACTTCCACAAGACCTTAAACCCTGTGCCATCATGTGGAGATACCTCTCATCTAAAATTTCACATAAGAATACTTTTCACAACAGACCACCATTCTGTACTCATAGATGACTGATGGCACAGCATGCTGTCTTATTTAGATCAATAGATAGATCGATACGTCTGTACTTAGAAGAATCTTCTTTTACCATGGTGTTCTTGTTTGTATTTATAACCTTATGCCCAGAAGAGGCATATTGTGTATACTGTATATGAATTGCCCAAGCACTGTAAACTTCCTCTAATATTTCCAGTAGAAAATGAAAGAGTTGGTTGAGATCCCTGGAAATGTTGAATGAGACTTCAAAGGGATGCCAAACAAAGCAATAGGGTTGTTTTGTTTTAAAAAGCACAATGTGTGTGGTCATTGCTCCCCAAAGTGGTACTGAAGAGCGTTTTGTATGATGAGCCGTCATTAAAGTAAGGCACTCAATCAAAGCTTTGCATAGATTTACAGAAAAATGTAAAATGGGATGAAATTTTATCCATGTGTTCTCCTAAAATTCTTGAAGGCTCAAGTACAGGAATCTGCTATCATGCTGATCCTTTCCAAGACCTCCCTGCATGTACCTCCCATTGATACTAAATCTCTTGGTTTTGATCCAGGAAATTTGAAGAGAGTTTCTTTTTCACACTTGCTTCGATGTCAATAGAATGTTGTCTGATGGTGACTAGAATGTATGGGGACAGCTATTACAGCTTGCCTTTGGAAGTTGTAGGAGCGCCATCACTTGAGACCTTCAAGAAGAGATTGGACTGCCATTTGTCAGAAATGGTGTAGGGTCTCCTGCTTGGGCAGGGGGTTGGACTAGATGACCTATAAGGTCCCTTCCAACTCTGATTATCTGTTATCTGCTAGCCTACATAGCTTTAATCTCTTTTGAAACCAAGATGGGTTGGAAGCAAGTTCTGACCACTTCTGGAGAACCGGTAGTGGAAATTTTGAGTAGTTCAGAGAACCGGAAGATACCACCTCTGACTGGAGATTTTACAGTATCCTTCCCCTGCCATGCCCACCAAGCCATGCCCACAGAACCGATAGTAAAAAATATTTGAATCCCACCACTGGTTGGAAGACCATCATTTCATTTGGTGCTGTACAACCCAAGAGCTTAATGTGCTATGTAAACAAAATACTTTTCATATATTTTGAGCATGCATTTCCTTGGATTTAGCTTGAGGTGACAACCCTGAGTTATAATTTTGTGTGAGAAGAATCTGTTTTTACTTTCAATATTGATGCCGTACCTTGTTTTTCAATATTCATGCCACCTATAACTTACCTTATTTCCAATTTAAAAAAAAATCTCACAAAGGTGCAGTACTTTCTACATATTTTTGTCTTTTCTAACTGTAAAATATTCTTGTTAAAGTGCAACATAGAAGATACCGCATATTATTTATATGACAACATAGATTTACAATGTGTATAGGCATTACAGTGCTGACAATTTTATTTTCAGTCTCACTTTTAATGATTCCTAGCAATGAATTCAACTTTGTTTTTAAACCCTTGCCACATTCTGGGTGAAATTTTATGCCAATAATTATCATTAATGTGACTGTGAACTTTGGGTTTTGTTATTGCTGTTCCACTATGCTATACTTTGTGTTTGCTTTTACTGCACTGACCCAATTATTTTGAAATTCATTCTTCCAATTGGAAAAGTTTTTTAAAAATCTTTTAAAAATACACTATTTCACACGAAAGCTACTGGACTGCTGCATTTATGAGAAAAAGCCACAAATCTTCACTTCACTATACTTCACCCCTTCTTATATCCTCTCAATTTGCTTTTATAGATTTGCTACTCCTCAGCTCTCCAATGCAAATTTTGATTTTAAAAAAATCTTATATTTTTATTAAAACAGTAGAAGTTTATTTAAGAAGACTGGACATTTGTTTATTTTTGTTCTTTGGATTGCTCTGGAAATAATAATTCAGGCAGAGTGAAAGGACTTATGAATTTTATCTGCACTTTCTTTATCATTCTTCAGCATTTTACTGAAATCCTTGTTGCTAAGCATACATTTAACAAGTATGTTGTTCTATAACTATAATAAAAATTTGATTGATTGAACCATTCAATACTGCAAATTCAAAGGTTTCTTACTTCAAATGTAGTTAACAATTTTATTTAATATCATGATTTGTGAAATTAAATTAGTGAAATTTAAATGAATTTTTTTAAAAAAAACAACTACAAAATATATAAACTTCATATGCCATTGTGATACTATAGAGCAGAAGTGTCAAACTCATGGCCCGTGGGCTGAATGCATCACCCCTGGCCACATCCACACCCTCGGTTTAGCAAAGGGGGAAAAAGTCATGATACATCACATGACGAAGCCGTGACGACATGAGTTTGCCAGCCCAGTTATAGAGCAAGAGATTTTTTTTTTAATCAGAAACTATAGAAAAGT